ACATGGAGGATCGGGTGGTGCTGATACATACAATGATGTGTTCCATCTGACTTAGTTCATTTCTTTGTGTAAATCAAATTAAAATACCCTGTACTAGGCGTGCTCTTGTTTTTGAGGCTTTTTCTCTCCTTCCGGGTATGCGGAAAGCTTGGGATGGATGAGGACATCTTGAAGATACTCAATTTTGTTTGTTTGTCCATTTTTGTTTTGGTTGGGTTGTTATTTTTTTCAGTGTTTTTATTTTTGTTTTTGTTGCGATGAAATTTGTTTCCGTGTCCATCATGATAATGTGATGTGTAATGTGTTTATGTTATATCGTTGAGAAGTTAGAGTTACGCTGTTTAGTGATCATGCGTGTGACCTTTAGCGATATGTGACCTTTAGCGATACGTGACCTTGAGCTATACCTGACCTTTAGTGAGGTGACCCCTCGTGACCTGACCTCTGGTGACCTGACTTCTGGTGACCTGACCTCTGGTGACTTGACCTCTGGTGACAAGTGCTGGTGTGTGTGTGGGGGGTGGGGGGGGGGTGTCAAAGTTGACTTTTACTGAAAAGTTGTGGTTCAGCGGTGAGGGAAAAGGCCTTCATGAAACGGGAAGCGTGCTGAGAAAATGAGTTATTTCTCGGATTCAAACTCAATTGCAATAGATACGTCTCACTTAATAGGTGAAGTTTGTACAATTTTTAAGTCTGGAATAAAAAAAGGCATGTATGTTACACGTAACCCTATCCGAACGCCCTGGGGTCATTTTGTACCATCGGGGTTGTATTCTTCACATTTTAGAATACTTCTAGTGCCAAGATCTCTTTGAAACTTTCAGTATTTCTCTAAAAATCATTTTGACAGACTGCTATGCAAAGCGTACGGATCGGATTAACGAGTAAGTTTCCTCTTTGGAAAGTGGTGGCACAGAGTTCCCCACGTCGTATGGATACGATAGTAAAACACGACGTACGTATAGGGTTAAGTGGTGGCACAGAGTTCCCCACGTCGTATGGATACGATAGTAAAACACGACGTACGTATAGGGTTAAGTGGTGGCACAGAGTTCCCCACGTCGTATGGATACGATAGTAAAACACGACGTACGTATAGGGTTAAGTGGTGGCACAGAGTTCCCCACGTCGTATCGATACGATAGTAAAACTCGACGTACGGATAGGGTTAAAGAATATATGGCATCAATAGAAAATCTGTAAATTTGACTCTAGTGTTGATTTTTGAAATGTCTCCGTTTGTGGATTGCGAGAAGTAGCTCGTTTTGTCAGCCCTCCTCACAAATGATCGCTTTTAAGCACAAGGGGTCTATCCCGAAAAATGGAGAAAATCGAAGGTAAAGTTTTTGCCCCTAGTTCAATTTCTTTAGAAGACAAGGAGAGTTTTCTCTATAACCAAACAAATATACACACCAATGAAACCAAACTTCTCCTATAGGTAGGGCAATGCCTACTTTTAGTGTATGTCAAGATTTCTGGAAACCCCCGAAATCTGGGTTAGCCCACTTGTCCTTAAAAGCGACTAAATGGTCTTCAGTTTTGTTGGCGAGCCTTGGTGTTCTATGATCTATGCTTCCGTGTGTGGCTTTTTAAAAAGTTTTCATTTTCTACAACGTGACTGGCTCTGGGAGTGACGATTTCGCTCTTTGTTGAACAAGGGTAGACGTGTGAAAATGCTAAATATATATATATAATATGTTATTTTACAATTTTTTTATACTTATAATTTATTTTTGTGGATGTACCTGCAGCAGCTGTTTGTTTTCAAAAATGATTGTATTGTTGCGATTGTAAGCATCGTCAGGAAATGATTGTATTGTTGCGATCGTAAGCATCATCAGGAAATGATTGTATTGTTGCGATTGTAAGCATCGCCACGAAATGATTGTATTGGTGCGATCATTCATAAAAGCATCATCAGGAAATGATTGTATTGGTGCGATCATTCATAAAAGCATCATCAGGAAATGATTGTATTGTTGCGATCATAAGCATGGTCAGGAAATGATTGTATTGTTGCGATCATAAGCATGGTCAGGAAATGATTGTATTGTTGTTGCGATCATTTAGAAGCATCATCTCGTCGTAGGGGAAGAATTTGAGGAAAATTTAGGTCAAGTTGTGTGTGGTACAGAAATAGCTGAGTGTGTTAGTTAGCATTAGTGTGAGTAGGATGGTAGGAGTGGGTGGTTGGCGGGTGCTCCGGTGGGGTTTGCTTCTTCTTTCCATTTAAACATCTATCATACAATACTATCATCCTGATCTCCCC